TAGATTTGATGCCATTGTGACACAGTTGTTTTAACCCTTGTATGGTGTTCGGGTCTGTGAGACCCGTGTTCAGTTTTTTTCAAAAGAAAAATTACAATTAATTATTTTTTCACGTGTAAATGTGTTGTGTCTTTCCACTCACTCCACTTGATTATAACTGATTTATTTATAACATTTTATATAAAAGAAAAACGAGAAGCACATTAATTCATAAATGTGATCTAACAAAGGTAAAGGGAAAAAATTTACCATGTTTGCTGTTCATATGTCTTGTAATTGGGATGAAGTAAACATCTGTTGAGTAATTTAACATAAAATTGTTTGATAGTGTTAATTTGGAAAGCCAAAACTCTAGCGGGTCCACCAGACCCATGAACACTGGCTGAGTAACAAAAATACGAACACCACACAAGGGTTAAGGAGCAATGCATATGCAGTACTAGAAAACTCTTGACGTAGTCTAGACACTAATGGTAGGGGTGAAGAGGGGAAGTGCAATGCTTAAAGATGCTGATGGATATTATTTGGGGCAGGACTTATGATGTGCTTAGTGGAAGAACTGATGGATGCTGATTCAGGGAAAAACTAGAGGTGAATAAAGGTTACATTAATCTCACAGTGAAAGTGACAATAAATAGCAGCAGATAAAGCAACTGACTTAAATTTTGAAGTAATCGTGGAATGAATGACAAAGTCTAAATTTTTTAACTGAGTCACACCAGAGATAGGGAAAAGGCAAAATTGTGAAAATGTACATAAAATAAATTTACCAGAATCATTCCATTCCACTGGCATCTTCCAGAGGAAAATAAATAAATATGTAATATGTCTACTATCAGTCTTGGTAGCCGGCGATCAGTCTGCCAGGGTCTCCACTCCAGGCCGCCGCCCGGCACACAATGAACCCGGCCCCTACGGCGTCCCCTGTGGGTGGTGGGCCTGCAGGAGGATGGGCCCAAGTCCCCTTTTTGGGCTGTGCCCAGCCGGGCCCCATGGACCAAGGCCCGGCCACCAGATGCTCGCCCTCAGGCACCCTGCCCGGGTCTGGCTCCAGGGCGGAGCCCCATTAACCCTATCCCGTGCAGGATGAACTGTTCCCTCGATGGTTTTCTCATAAGGGTACTCTGAATCGCTCTTTGTCTGGTCCCTCACCCAGGACCAATTTGCCATGGGAGACCCTACCAGGGGGCAGAAGCCCCCGGACAACATAGCCCCTGGGACACACACACCCCTCCACCATAAGGTAGCGATTCAGGGGGTGGTTGAGGACGAGTTCCTGCCCCAAGTGGAAGAGTTTAAGTATCTCATGGGTCTTGTTCACAGGTGACAGGAGAAGGGAGCTTGATAGGGGATTGACAGACGGATTGGTGCTGCGGCTGCAGTGATGTGGATGCTGTACCGGTCCATCATGCGTAAAAGCGAAGCTCTCAATATACCAGTCGATCTACATCCTTACCTTCAACTATGGTCACAAGCTTTGGATAGTGAACGAAAGAACGAGATTGCAGATACAAGTGGCGGAAATGAGCTTCCTCATAAGGGTGGCTAGACTCTTCCTTAGAGATAGGGTGAGACGTTCAGCTAGCAGGGAGGGGCTCAGAGTAGAGCCACTGCGCCTCCACATAGAAAGGAACCAGTTGAGGTGGCCTGACAAAGATGCCTCCTGGGTGAGGTGTTCCGGGCATGTCCCACCGGGAGGAGAAGCTGGAGGAGGTGGCTGGAGAGAGGGAGGTTTAGGCTTCTCTGCTTAGGTTGCTGCCCCGGTGACCCCGCCCAGGATAAGCGGAAGAAGATGGATGGATGGATGAATGGATGGATGTCTTCTATCAAAGAAGAGTTTATGATATCCCCTTTTTAGTTCTGATTTATTTGAGCTAAGGTTTCAATATAAAAATGTTTTATTTTTCTCTGAACCAGTAATAATTGCCTTAAATACATGTCATGTTGGGTGTGTTCAAAACTGGAAGAGCTTGATTACTTGCTGGAATACTTACAGAATGTACAACTCAGGATTCATATTATGGTATATGCTACTGCTACTACTGACAGTAATAATAATGATAATAATAATACTGAAATATTAGTGCATTTTCTAATTGTTTTTTGCATGCACCATTACAGGCATTCAACACCCTGCTTTAAAAGCTAAATGCCCAAATGAGTAGTAAGTTAGAGTAGTTATTAGGTCACAATAAAAGAAGCACACAACAATTTTTTTTAGCCGATGGGGTATTGTCATCACCCTGCTGAGCGGGCAGCAGTTGGCTTGGACACCCAAAGTTCTACATGGATACCATAGGTAAACTTACTAAAAAACCCTCTAGAGCAGTGCTCTTGGAATATGATTGGGCTTAGTTTAGTGGTTTGGAAAACTAGGCCCAAGATTCTGTTAATGTTAGAGGTTGGAGTAACCTTTAAGAGCTATTTGTACTAATGTTGCTTTGCTTTTAGCAGGACCAAAGCATAAGCAGAATGAATAACAAATAAAAAAAAAAGATAAAAATACTTGAATTATACACATAATAATTAACCCTGAGCTTATTCTGATTTTGTTCTGATCTTCTAAAGGAAAGAGATTAGAGAGAATGAGTGCACCTTGGTTGCTGACAAGCTTACCTCTTCCGTTTAGGCATAACCCAATAGAATAGAAACCAAGTCCAGTAGGAAACAATGAAAATTCTAATCCTTTTGAATTTATACTGTATGTGATAACTCAAGAACAAAGGGAAGTAGGAGTTTCAAATGTATACCACTTGTTGTGTATCTACTAAAACTCTCCAATGAGCTCAAATCTCAGTGACCTCACCCTCAAAGTCAAAGTCAGAGGTCAAGTTTTCTGATCTTGTGAATGTGATAGCCTGAGAAGGAAGTCACCTAGGATTTTAGGTTTTGAAATTGATACCACGGGTGCTTCAACTAAAACTCTTGGATGAGTTCGAATCTCACTGACATTCACCTCAAGATCAGGGGTCAGAGGTCAAGTTTTCTGAAAATCTTGTGAATGTGTGAACTAGAACAAGTTGACGTAGGATTTTCAAATTGATACCATAGGTGTATCTACTAGGAGGCTGAGGGGTACCACTGGCCGCTGTCAGTATTTTTTTATTTACCATCTCTAGTTACTCTCTGAATAAATAGTAACTTATTCTTAACAAGCCCTCCATTATATCTTAGCTATTCCTACGACTCTCCTCTTCTAGACAGAGATCTCAGATGTTGTTCCTGGAATCCGCCACTTGCTCCAGTCACTGGGTCACTGCCTGAAAAATCCCTAATACCATAGGGATGACTGCTGGTTTCACCTTGCACATCTTCTTTAGCTCTTCTCTCAGCCCTTGGTATTTCTTGAGCTTCTGGTATTCCTTCTTACTGATCTTACTATCGCTTGATATTGCTACATCTCTGATTGTCCACCACTATTATGTTGGTTAGCCATCACCAGTCTCTTTGCCGGTGTCTAGAAGTCCAAGAGTATCTTAGTTTGGTCATTCTCAACCACCTTTGGGGGCAAATAGCATTTTGACCATATGACTTTCAGGCCACAGACGTTTTTATATACTATGCCAGTCAATTTGTTATGGTGTTCTCTCTGGTGTACACTATATTATCGATAGTATTTACTCATCTTCACATGCATATGAACGTGAGTGACATCCCATTCCTCTGGGTTTAATATGATGTTGTTGGCCCACCCTTGGCAGCTGTAACAGCTCCAACTCTGTCTTCTGGGAAGACTTTCCACAAGGTTTAGGAGTGTGTTTTATATCTATCTGTTTATATATATACACTGTAAAAACTGTGACTAGAGGTTACTTAAAAAAGTTATGGCAACAAAGTGACACTTGAAATAATTAAGTAGATTTTAATTTCAAAAGATTTATGTAAAATGTAGAGAAAATGTTAATTAAATTCAAATAGAAAACAAAAGTAGATATTAATAGAATTAAACTGTAAATATGTGTTGGATTTAGGGTCAAAATCTCAAACTGAAGGTTGAAATTGCCCAACTTTACCAAAAAAAATAATTGATATGAAATAAGTCTCTGAGAAAAATTACTTTGAATTTACTAACTATCTGGCAAATGTTTAGTAAAAACTTCCTAAAATATCCATTACAAAGAAATGAAATCTTCTTGTTTTTTCAGTAAAACTCAAATTGGATTCAATAATTTTCCAAATAAACCTTAAAAATAATGACTGAATAATAAGAGAAAATGAAATGAATTTAACTTATTTTCTGAGTAAAATGAATCAATTTCACAAAGAAAACATCAACACAGTAATTTGTTTTATTGTGGAAAATAAAACACAGTAATTTATAATATAACATTTTTCTGCTCGTATACACTGAATTCTCATCAACAATCTCCTGATCTCCTAAATACATTCCTCTGCTGTAAATTTGTTTTAGTGTCATAAACAGTTTATCACACAGCTTTGTGTACAGAGCAACAGCAACATAAACTGCATGAATGTAAACCAGTTTTGTAAAAAAGAAATTAATCTTTAGATTAGACTGTAATATCAACATGAACCTGAAATTTGAATATCCTTTACCGTTTCCTTTATCTCTGTTACTTATTTATGATTGACTAACAAAAACTTTAGTTAGTCAATCTTTTGTTAAATTGAATCACTCAATATAACTGTAGAACAAAGGTTTTTTAACTCATGTACATGGAATATCAATAATGTAAATCAACCTTTTATCCCAATTTGGATGTTTAACCTGAGAAAATCTAAGACACATGTAAGAGGAAGTAACATTTCTACAGTTACAGGACTGCACTTCTGTTAAATTTTAAAGTTGTTTTAAACTAATGTTTTATAGTAACATACACTATAAACAAAGAAAAGCTTCACTAGTGATTCCTCCAATTTGTTGCCTTTCAAACAGAATATTCCTAAGAAACTTGTAGGTAATAAAAAACAAACATTAAAATGAAGAGCACAAATACAGCCTGACACATTGCAGGTCATTTGGGTAAGATATGAATAAGTTGAAATTATTTTGAAAACTGAAAAGATAGCTGCATCTAACAAAGACAAACCAAAGGTTTTCAGTGAGCTTATTTCCCTTTCATTCTTTCAGAGTCCTCACTTAAGCCAATAACTTGTTCTTGAGGCTGTTCACTTTTGGTGAGAGCTTAGCACAATCCAGTTCAAGGAAAGTTTTCTGGAATACTTCCAAGGTGTATTTTAGCTCTTTGGGATAGGCAAGATTGACTGCATATGTCAATTCAACCAGCATTGCGCATGCTCTTGGAAAATTGCCCAGAGCAGGCATAACTCTCACACCCTCCAGCACAATGCCAATGTCATCCTCCTCAGATCCAACAGCCTTGATTTTGTAGATTTTCATCCTCTGTTCAGAAAGATCTTGTGACACACCATCCTCATCAGCATCCTGAAACAACAAACACATGAGTTTTCTGACTGTAGTTGCACACATGAAATATTTCCTGGACACATCCTGTAGCTGAATGACAAATAGAACATGATAATGCCTCAAATTATTTGAAACTTGACAAACACATATGAATAACAAAAACAGAATAATGTTTCTACTTCAACACTTACACTGTACTCTTTGATCAGTTGATCAATGGACTCCCCAAGGTACACCATCAAGCACCGAATAACCAGATTTCTGGTTATGTCATTGCTAGGATTGCTTGGTGACTGAAAATGAGCAAGAATTCCAAAAATTACCATCAGATAAGTGACCATTTATTAAGACAAAACTGTGAGAATTGGCAGTATTAAAAAAAACTGTTAAATATCAAATTATCATCACATGGAACATTATGTGCGATAATTAGCTGATGTTAATGCACATGCCTGGGTGCTGACAGTCAACACAAAGGTATTGTCAACATGCTTGTAAGCTTCAATCTTTAAATGCGTCGTTTTAGTAAATTACATTAATTTATTCTTTTAGTTTTTTATCTAATTTAGTTTATGTTCGTCAGAAAGGGTTTTTCCTTCTTGGGACAAAACAAAAACCCAGCAATACCTGTACTTGTGTTTTTTTGTTTGTTTTTTGTTTGTTTGTTTTTACTAAGAATAGACATGTATTTAAAATACAATTAAAACATGAAACCCATAATTGTGTTGTTAATTATATCAGTGACGTCCTGGCGTCCTCTTGCACTGACAAAAACATGCAAACAAATTAGTGGAGCTGTGCACCATGCAAATGAAATTTGACAAAAAAATTCTTTAAATAAAATTCCAAGCTGAAATGTCTGTGGAAAATACCTTGGCTATGATAGCCTGCAACTTCAATCCCATGGCTCCCCCCTTGGAATGGAAAAGGGCCAACAGTTTGGGAGTGTACTCATCCAGCATGGACATGAATTTGGGTTCAAGGTGTACCAGGGTGATCCTGTAGAACTCATCCTGCAGCTGAACGACAAAAAAAACCATGATGCAGCCTCAAATTATTTGAAGTTTGAAAGATTACATTAAAAAAAACCAAAAGCCTACCCAAAATGAATTTGGAACTCACATGAGATGCCTCAAACAATGCTGGCCATCTGGCTTTGATGTCTTCAATGCTGGGGACAGGTTGACAATTTCATGTCGTCTATGTGCAAATGTTTTAGCCATTTTTTCTTTTATCACTTTGTTGTTGTCTCTTTTCTTGACTTCAGTAAGCAACTGAATTCTCTCTTCTTCTTGACTGTCCTCATCTTCACCTGCTGGATATGGCGGAAGGTAATTTACCTCTGCTTTCCGAGGCTTTTTCACTTTATTTGCAGACTTCTGGTCACCTGGACTCTTGTGTTTCATGGCATTGCATGTCAACTCAGGAACACCAAACCCTCTAAGTTTTGTACGATAATTGGCCATCTTGTATTTGATGCTTTGTTGCCAACCATAATAACCTGAGAAAGAGCCAGGTTCCTTGAGACAAGGGTATTTTGTCACAAGTGCCTCAGCAACATAACTAACCTGTGCACTTGAAGGATAGGCCGTAAATGTAAATATAGTTTCAGCCAACTTCTCAAGAATATCAGTCTTTACTTTGGAGGTGGGCAGAAGATTTCCATTCTTTTTATACTCCTCAGTGGCTCTTTCCAGGTACATCTCAGTTTCATATGCAAACTGTGGAATGGGAAACTGTTTCGGCCAGGGCTCACAACGTTCTGTGGTCTTCTGCCTTTTGAGAATAATGGTGTCCTGAGAAGAAGTAGTTGCAGCAGAGTCTGCATTGGATACAACTGACTCAGCATATGAGGAGTCATAGTCAGACAGTTGGCCAGAGGGGCCGCCAAAACTGTCATCAACCGGAGTCAAGCTTAGCATGACTGGGGTGATGCCAACAACCTTCACAGTGTCTTTGTCTTTTATCTGGTCAGCTCTGTGAAGAGTGAAGTAGTCCTGGAATTCTGGGTCAAAATACTGAAGACTGAAGTCATTTGAAATCCCAAAAGTATCCTTCACAACACTCTGCAGCTCCTCCAATGTTGGTGGGATCCCTGATGGAAGAACCAACTTCTCGATTTGGTCATCAATAATTACACGAAGCTTTGCCTCCATCTTGTTCAACCTAGAATAAAATGTAAATGGGCAGAGTTAAATTTCCCTTCAATTAAATAAAATTAGTTATTACTTTTCATTTATACAATAGTTGAGATATAAAACTATAAAACAAAAAGCACACTTCAACACACCAAATGTTGCAAATAACAAATACTTGGGAGATGTACATGTTATCAAGTTTTTGTTGTTGTTGTTTTATTTTGTTGTTTGTTTGTTTGTTGAAAAAGATTTGCATATCTTACACTGCCATCCCATTTGCCAGGTCCTAAAGTGATGGAAAAATATATATCTAAGAATCTAAATAGTTTTTCATGACAAATGTAAGAGCATGGGTATCTATACACATTTGATGTTGAGATTATAGAGAAGAAGAAAAAAATCCTACAAATAATAAGCAATTATTTTCTACTTAGTGTTTTTACAAAAACAAATAAGTTAGATTAAGTGGGGTCAACTTGGTAATTTTATGCCGCTTCAATTTCAAAACCATTAGTTTAATTTAATATAACATGTTATCACAACTTACTTTATAATGCACAGTCTACATGCTGATCAGGTGAATTTAAGTTGAGGGATCTTCCATTACCTGAAAGGAAAGCAACATTATCATTAATAGCAGTCTCCAAAATAAAAAATTTACACAAACACACGCAGTCATTCCAATAGATTAACACATTTCAAAACATATAAGGACGTTTACTGTTATTAGTGTGAATGCTTGAAAAGCATTCACAGTATTGTTCTTCTAATTAGTGTGAATGCTTGAAAAGCATTCACAGTATTGTTCTTCTAATCTTTATTATTAGTGTGAATGCTTGAAAAGCATTCACAGTATTGTTCTTCTAATCTTTATTCTTATATTTTATTATCTATTCCGTACGTTTTTTGAAAGCCTACTCCTTCAAAACCGTTCAACTTAGAAAAACCATTCAAACACCATTAGATTCCTATTCTTTTGGACATGATTGCTTGTATTTTTCTCATTTTTAACATTTATATTTTAATTTTATTCAACTTTATTCAACAAAAATTTCCCATGTATTTCAATGGGGAGACCCTTCAAATTCTCATTCAACTTACTCATTTTTAAACTGCTTACTACTTCAACATACGTTCCCATAGAGCCACCATTCAAACTTTAAAACGAAGACAAGACATTCAACTATTCAACTTGTATTTATCTTTTCAATATCTATTATACTTTTTCTTCAGTTCCAGTTTAAGTTTCATGATGTTTTTTCACCCGTTTCAGAGTTTATAATGGGTGTGTATGGGACGGAATGTTGGGGCTAGAGTGAGGCAGCTCAACTGCTAGAGTGAGAGGAGCAAAAAAATTAATCTTAAAATCTTTTTTAAAACTGCTGCTGTGTCCGCAGCGTTTGCTCTACAGGTATGATTTTACCCTCAAAACGTAGCCATGGCTGTCCTCTTTCATCCAATGTGTTTACTATTGTACTAGGTGTTATGGTTCTTTCATAAATGTCACCAATGCACAGCCTCCTCCCTCCAACTCTTCCATAGACTCTAATGTTAAAATGGCTCAGAAGGTTCGTTTGAAAATCAGAAGAGCATGGTGTCTTTCCACTGTCACCACGTCCATATAATAAGCTCCACAGGCATGAAAACTGAGAATTCAGTAGACTAGAAGCTGCTGTCACTCACGGTGAAAGAATTTTGTCAATACGAATTTTACTTTTCATTTGGGAACGATTTGTTTCGGCCTGACTTTTCTGTTCATTTTAAGCAGCAAAAGTGAGGCGCATGTCTGTGTACGTGTGTATGGAGCCATTGGGTGCGGTCACTATAGCAACCAGGCTCACACCTGCCTGCTTAACGAGCTCTCTCTGCCACTCTGCCAAAATTCATCTTAAACACTTCTCTTTCAACTGCTGCTGTGTCCACAGTGTTAAAGCCATCATTTTACCCTCAAAACGTCGCCATCGTTGTTCTTTTTCCAACATCTTGTCTTTCAAAGCTCAGAGATGTAAACTTTTTAAACTGTGTGGGTCCAAGTGGAGGGATCACATTTTAGTCATTCAGTGATTCAAAGAATATGACCTTTTAATATTCTTTCAGATGTTTTCTGACTCTAAATGTTATTTTCTCATTTCTTAGGTTTTTCTAATTTACAATTTAAAAATTTTCAGCTTTTTTCCAACTTCTTCTTCTGTGTAACCTTCAGCTTTTAGCAGTTCAGCACTGTTGTTTTCAGGTTAAATTCAGGTTGTTTTTTTTTTTTTTTTATCTCATTCAAATTTTTAACTCAAAATTCAGCAATTAATTCATTTCAGTGCATACATTCAGATTCAAGCATTCACACTGCAGTTTCTTCAGAAAATGCACTTTCTAGTTATTTTTTCCTATTCCGTACGTTTTTCGCCGACTATCTCCTTCAAAACCGTTCAACTTAGAAAAACCATTCAAACACCATTAGATTCCTCTTCTTTTGGAATGGTGTGCTTCTACTTTTCTCATTTTTAACATTTATATTTTTAATTTTATTCAACTTTATTCAACAAAATTTCCCATGTATTTCAATGGGGAGACCCTTCAAATTCTCATTCAACTTACTCATTTTTAAACTCTTACTACTTCAACATACGTTCACATAGAGCCACCATTCAAACTTTAAAACGAAGACAAGACATTCAACTATTCAACTTGTATTTATCTTTTCAATATCTATTATACTTTTTCTTCAGTTCCAGTTTAAGTTTCATGATGTTTTTTCACCCGTTTCAGAGTTTATAATGGGTGTGTATGGGACGGAATGTTGGGGCTAGAGTGAGGCAGCTCAACTGCTAGAGTGAGAGGAGCAAAAAATTAATCTTAAAATCTTTTTTAAAACTGCTGCTGTGTCCGCAGCGTTTGCTCTACAGGTATGATTTTACCCTCAAAACGTAGCCATGGCTGTCCTCTTTCATCCAATGTGTTTACTATTGTACTAGGTGTTATGGTTCTTTCATAAATGTCACCAATGCACAGCCTCCTCCCTCCAACTCTTCCATAGACTCTAATGTTAAATGGCTCAGAAGGTTCGTTTGAAATCAGAAGAGCATGGTGTCTTTCCACTGTCACCACGTCCATATAATAAACTCCACAGGCATGAAATGAGAATTCAGTGACTAGAGCTGCTGTCGCTCACGGTGAAAGATTTTGTCAATACGACTTTTACTTTTCATTTGGGAACGATTTGTTTCGGCCTGACTTTTCTGTTCATTTTAAGCAGCAAAAGTGAGGCGCATGTCTGTGTACGTGTGTATGGAGCCATTGGGTGCGGTCACTATAGCAACCAGGCTCACACCTGCCTGCTTAACGAGCTCTGCCTGCCACTGTACCAAGATTCATCTTAAACACTTCTCTTTCAACTGCTGCTGTGTCCACAGTGTTACAGCCATCATTTTACCCTCAAATTGTCGCCATTATTGTTCTCTTTCCAACACCGTATCTTTCAAAGCTCAGGCATTTAAACTTTTTAAACTGTGTGGATCAAAGTGGAGGGATCACATTTGAGTCATTCAGTGATTCAAAGAATATGACCTTTTAATATTCATTCAGATGTTTTCTGACTCTAAATGTTCTTTTCTCATTTCTTAGGGTTTTCTAATTTACAATTAAAACATTTTCAGCTTTTTTCCAACGTCTTCTTCTGTGTAACCTTCAGCTTTTAGCAGTTCAGCACCTTTGTTTTCAGGTTAAATTCGTTTTTTTTTGTTTGTTTTTTTTAATCTCATTCAATATTTTAACTCAAAATTCAGCAATTAATTCATTTCAGTGCATACATTCAGATTCAAGCATTCACACTGCAGTTTCTTCAGAAAATGCACTTTCTAGTCTTTATTAGTGTGAATGCTTGAAAAGCATTCACAGTATTGTTCTTCTAATCTTTATTATTATTTTTCCTATTCCGTACGTTTTTCGCCGACTATCTCCTTCAAAACCGTTCACTTAGAAAAACCATTCAAACACCATTAGATTCCTCTTCTTTTGGAATGGTGTGCTTCTACTTTTCTCATTTTTAACATTTATATTTTTAATTTTATTCAACTTTATTCAACAAAAATTTCCCATGTATTTCAATGGGGAGACCCTTCAAATTCTCATTCAACTTACTCATTTTAAACTCTTACTACTTCAACATACGTTCACATAGAGCCACCATTCAAACTTTAAAACGAAGACAAGACATTCAACTATTCAACTTGTATTTATCTTTTCAATATCTATTATACTTTTTCTTCAGTTCCAGTTTAAGTTTCATGATGTTTTTTCACCCGTTTCAGAGTTTATAATGGGTGTGTATGGGACGGAATGTTGGGGCTAGAGTGAGGCAGCTCAACTGCTAGAGTGAGAGGAGCAAAAAAATTAATCTTAAAATCTTTTTTAAACTGCTGCTGTGTCCGCAGCGTTTGCTCTACAGGTATGATTTTACCCTCAAAACGTAGCCATGGCTGTCCTCTTTCATCCAATGTGTTTACTATTGTACTAGGTGTTATGGTTCTTTCATAAATGTCACCAATGCACAGCCTCCTCCCTCCAACTCTTCCATAGACTCTAATGTTAAAATGGCTCAGAAGGTTCGTTTGAAAATCAGAAGAGCATGGTGTTTTTCCACTGTCACCACGTCCATATAATAAGCTCCACAGGCATGAAACTGAGAATTAGGTAGACTAGACATTGCTGTCGCTCACAGTGAAAGAATTTTGTCAATACGACTTTTACTTTTCATTTGGGAGCGATTTGTTTCGGCCTGACTTTTCTGTTCATTTTAAGCAGCAAAAGTGAGGTGCATGTCTGTGTACGTGTGTATGGAGCCATTGGGTGCGGTCACTATAGCAACCAGGCTCACACCTGCCTGCTTAACGAGCTCTCTCTGCCACTCTGCCAAAATTCATCTAAACACTTCTCTTTCAACTGCTGCTGTGTCCACAGTGTTAAAGCCATCATTTTACCCTCAAAACGTCGCCATCGTTGTTCTTTTTCCAACATCTTGTCTTTCAAAGCTCAGAGATGTAAACTTTTTAAACTGTGTGGGTCCAAGTGGGGGATCACATTTTAGTCATTCAGTGATTCAAAGAATATGACCTTTTAATATTCTTTCAGATGTTTTCTGACTCTAAATGTTCTTTTCTCATTTCTTAGGTTTTCCTAATTTACAATTAAAACATTTTCAGCTTTTTTCCAACTTCTTCTTCTGTGTAACCTTCAGCTTTTAGCAGTTCAGCACTTTTGTTTTTAGGTTAAATTCGGTTTTTTTTTTATCTCATTCAAGATTTTTAACTTAAATTCAGTAATTATTTCATTTCAGTGCATACATTCAGATTCAAGCATTCACACTGCAGTTTCTTCAGAAAATGCACTTTCTAGTTATTATTTTTTCCTATTCCGTACGTTTTTCGCCGACTATCTCCTTCAAAACCGTTCAACTTAGAAAAACCATTCAAACACCATTAGATTCCTCTTCTTTGGAATGGTGTGCTTCTATTTTTCTCATTTTTAACATTTATATTTTTAATTTTATTCAACTTTATTCAACAAAAATTTATAATGTATTTCAATGGGGAGACCCTTCAAATTCTCATTCAATTCACTCATTTTTAAACCCTTACTACTTCCACATACATTGACATAGAGCCACCATTCAAACTTTAAAACGAAGACAAGACATTCAACTATTGAACTTGTATTTATCTTTTCAATATCTATTATACTTTTTCTTCAGTTCCAGTTTAAGTTTCATGATGTTTTTTCAGCCGTTTCAGAGTTTATAATGGGTGTGTATGGGACGGAATGTTGGGGCTAGAGTGAGACAGCTCAACTGCTAGAGTGAGAGGAGCAAAAAATTTATCTTAAAATCTTTTTTAAAACTGCTGCTGTGTCCACAGCGTTTGCTCTACAGGTATGATTTTACCCTCAAAACGTAGCCATCGCTGTCCTCTTTCATCCAATGTGTTTACTATTGTCCTAGGTGTTACGGTTCTCTCATAAATGTCACCAATGCACAGCCTCCTCCTTCCAACTCTTCCATAGACTCTAATGTTAAAATGGCTCAGAAGGTTCGTTTGAAAATCAGAAGAGCATGGTGTCTTTCCACTGTCACCACGTCCATATAATAAACTCCACAGACATGAAAACTGAGAATTAGGTAGACTAGACATTGCTGTCGCTCACGGTGAAGATTTTGTCAATACGACTTTTACTTTTCATTTGGGAGCGATTTGTTCGGCCTGACTTTTCTGTTCATTTTTAA